ATAGATAGATAGATAGATAGATAGATAGATAGATAGATAGATAGATAAACAGGCAGACAGACACCGATAATTGATTGAGATGAGAGAATGAGAGAGATAAGAGAGACAGATAAATAAGAGGGACAGGTAGACATGTATCTATCATATTAGAATGATGGAGATAGATAGATAGATAGATAGATAGATAGATAGATAGATAGATAGATAGATAGATAGATAGATAGACAGACAGACACTGATAATTGATAGACAGTTGAGAAAATGAGAGAGATAAGAGAGACATAAATAAGAGGCACAGATAGACATGTATCTATCATAAGATGTTAGAAAGATGGAGACAGACAGACAGACAGACAGACAGATAGATAGATAGATAGATAGAGATACATACATACATACATACATACATGTAGAAGAGAGATAAGAGAAAGAGAGATGATAATTAAAGCTTCACCAAAACTCCTCTTCTCATAAAAATATCTAAAATCAAACAGTAACTCATGTAAATACATTTTAAAAAGACGGTCCATTTCTATCTTTTTCACATGCACAAGGAAAACTGTGCAGAAAGTGGTGTTATGAGTACTATAAAAATGAAATGACCAAAATAAAGGACAACACTTTTGGAAATGACATCAATGCAAAGGGCAGTTATCTGAAATCAAGGGCTGTCCTTTAGAGTAAAGGATTAATCCACCGGGTCTGGTTTTTTGAGGCCAGCCCAGGAGATTTTTCCCACGGTTTCTCTGCTGTCCGGCTCTCTCCTTTCCCCCATGCCTGGCTGGCTGGCTGCTCCGACTCTCTGCTCTGCCTTCCTTCCTTAGAAGCTCAAAGCTGTTCCTTCCCTCCCTCCCTTGGAGGGAACCAACATTCGCAGCCTTGTTCTCTGGGCTTCTCAGCATCCGTGGCTGGACATTCTTGATGCATTACTTAATTGTTGTCTGAAAAGGCCCTGCTGCTGTGAGGGGAGCAGTGTTCTTGTGTGTGTGTGTGTGTGTGTGTGTAGGCATGGCTGCGGGAATCAAGGATAGTGAGGAATTACATATGTGGGCATCAGCAAAACTAGTGATTCATTCTGTCTCCCTCCCTCCCTCCTCAAACTGTGGACTTTGGGTGTGCCTGGGAAGGAAAGGAATCGGTGGGGGGGGGGCTTCTGGGGGAATTGGTCACTAGCAGCTCAGGAAGCCCTTCTGGAAGCGGGGATGAGATTTAATCAGTGCTAAGAAAGGACTAGAGCGGAAAAACAGAAACTATGAAAATCATACCTGTCTTAGGTCAGATGACATTTGACAGACCAACTGGAAGATTTTGGGTGGCTTCACCCTTTTTGAGTGGCACCTGCCTCCAAGCTCTGTGTGTGTGTGTGTGTGTGTGTGTGTGTGTGTGTGTGTGTGTGTGT